CCCCGCCGCCGCCGCCTCAGCTTTACAAATAGCTGGGACTATAGGCAAACACCATCATCTTGGTTGAATTAGCTTTACTCCTCCTTTTTTTAAAAAAATTTTTTTAGTTGCAGATGGACAGCCTGCCTTTATTGTATTTGTTTATTTATATTGGTGTTGAGGATCGAGCCCAGTGCCCTACATGTGCTAGGCAAGGGCTCTACCACTGAGCCCCAGCCCCAGCCCTTCTTTACCCTTCCCTTCTGTGGGGCTGAACCCAGAGCTTCAATGTGTCAAGCATGCTAGGTGCACCCCTGGCATGCTTGTACCCCATGTCTTTTTAGAAGCTGCCAAGGTTAACACAGGCCAAGTGGTTGAAAAGGTGGCAAGGCCAGTGTATGCCTCTGTGCCAGCTGCCTTACCTGCCCCAGCAGTGACCATTAAGAGGTGGCCCAGGCCCCTTAGTCTCTCCCCTGGGTGTGCATCTGTGTGCATGTGCGTGGGTGTGTGTATTCCAGAGAGGGCTGCTTTATTTTTATTACTTTATGGTGCTGGGGATGGAATCTAGGGCCTCACACATGCTAGGCAAGCCTCTGCTGCTGAGCCGCAGCCCAGCCCTTTGTTTTATTTTGAGTTAGGATCTTGCTAAGTTGTCAAGTGGATGGCCTGGGATGTGCCATCCTTCTGCCTCAGTCTTTGAATAGCTGAGAGTATAGGTGTGCACCACTGTGCCTGGTGAAAGGATTTTTATTTTTATATTTTGGGTACAGGGGATTGAACCTGGGCGGGAGTTCTACCACTGAGTTACATACATCCCCAGTCTTCATTTATTTACTTATTTGTACTGGGGATTGAATCCTCAGGGTTGCTTTATTACTGAACTAAATCCTCAGCCTTTTTCTTCTTTAAGACAGGGTCTCACTAAGTCTAAATTTAGGGCTAAGTTGCTGAGGTTGGCCTTGAACTTATGATCCTTTTGCCTCAGCCTCCCAATTTGTTGGGATCACATTGCACCACCACACCTGGCTCCTTTTATATTTTTTGAGACAAAATCTTGATGAGGGTCTCACTGAGTTGCTGAGGCTGACCTTGGGATTCTCCTGCCTCAGCCTCCCAAGTCTCAGGGATTATAGGCTAGGATTTTTATTTTTTACTTGAGGAGGTTACCTAATGAGGCAAACTGGCTCAGGCTTATCTCATCTCTAAATCGGGAGCTTTATGGAGGAGAGTCTGGCACTTACTTAGCCAATCTCTACCAGCTGTTTGGTTGCCCCAGATTCTGCTCCTGATGGACATGCTGGCCACCTGGTATGGCATTCGGGACCAAGGCCAGCAGGGAAGGGTGAGGCCTGAGCCCTCCTCTTCAGCCCCACCCAGAGCTTTCCTGCCCCAGTGTTCTTCAGCCAGCCCTCTGGGCCTCAGTTCTGGCTCCCTGGTCACCCTGGTCTGTCTTTTTTCTTTTTTGTGGTGCTGGGGATTGAACCCAGAGCCTGTGCATGCGAAGCAAGCACTCTACCAACTGAGCTATACCCCTAGCCCCACCCTGGCCTTTGGTCCCTGCAACGTTGACTTTCAACACCCTGGAGTCCAGGCCATGCTGCTGCATCCTGCTCTGACCCCAGCCTCCCTCTGGAGCTTGAGGTCGTTCTTACCCAGGGATGTAGTGAGGTTCTGGTGTGAAGAGGTTGTGTTTCTGGGTAGCTGTCATTTTGCCTCAACTCCCCCCTTGCTGGCTCAGCTCCTTCTGCCTCTGGCTCTCTTCCCTGAGAGGAGTCCAGTCACCTGGCAACCATTGTGAAGGGGCCAGCACTGTTGGGCTCCCCCTTAGTCAGGCCACCTGTTAACCCTGTGAGTGCTCCCAGGCACCAGTCTAGGAAGCTGTATTGGCAAGGCAGGGGGTCTTGCAAAGACTCCTCCTACTTCAGTGCTCTGAAAACAGACTGGGAGGGGACTGGACTCTGGCAATCCCAAAGGGACCTCCCCTCCAGGTTACCTGCCCCCACCTTAGGGTTTTTTTTTTTTTTTTTTTAAACCCCAGTCCTTCTCCCTGAGGAGGTCAGCTTTGAGTCTGGGGGTCCCACCTGGACAGCTGTGTGGGGCTGTCTTTGGATTCTTTCTGCTGGAGCTGCACATTATTTTCCACTTTGAACAAATCCTGATTTTTTAAAAATTAGGTACAGGAAGAACTTTCTAACCATCATATAGAAAAAAATTAGTAGTATCCCCTCTGTCAAAAAATAGCACAAACAATATAACAAGCCACACTACAAACTGGAAAGTATGCACCCTGAGTGATCTACCCCCAAGGTTACAGTACAAACATATTGTGAACATGTCCAGAAAAGCCCAGTCAACAACCAAGTGCCAGAGTGTAGCAGAATCAAGTAAATGCTGATCAGAGGCTGAGAAGGCAGCATCTAAGCCTCACTGCTAGGAGACACCTTCTGGAGTACAACTGGCTAATAATACAGGTCAAGCTGGAACGAGACCCTGCAAGCTACCCTGAGCAAGTGCTCTGCTGCTCAGCCAGAGGTGTGTGCATTGCCATTCATCGCCTAAGCAGCAACACAGGGCTTCCCCAGCACACTACACAGCACACGATCACAGCTATGTTCTCAAAGTACACACAACACAGAAGGCAGCCCAAGGCCTAGCAGGTGGAACCCTTGCCCATCTCAACATGCATCCGTTCATCCTCCAGAGTGCCAGGCAGAGGCGGTGCTGGGTAGGAGGGACTGGAGAGGCGGAGATTTCTTTTTTTTTCTTCTGTACCTGGGATTGAGCTCAGGGGCCTTGCCTATGCTGGGCAAGTGCTCTACCACTGAGCTACATCCCCAACCTGCTGTTTAGAGTGGAGGTCAGGGCTGGGGTTGGCAGGCCCGTCAGCACCAGAGGCTATGGGTAAGGGTTCTGGTTCCTAAGTGCACACTTGCTCCCTCAGGATCATTACTGCTTGTAGCTTGATTGGGCAGCTCAGTTCACCTGGGAACCTACAGCTCCAGGCCCCTGCTGGCCCTTGTGGCCCCAGAAGACAGGTTTTCACTTGGCCCTACAGAGGAAGCAGGGCAGCAGCTCCTCCTGCTCCTCCTCCAGGCAGCCTTCCTGGACCCCTCCCTCTGCCCTTCTTCCTCTGGCTGGCCCCAACACCTGAACCTGCAGGACTTGGTGAACAGTCACTATCAGCCTGGGACTCAAACCTCCCAGAAACCCAGTTCAAGTGGAGCCCAGCCCCCAGGAGGCCCCAAAGTACAGGAAAGGAGAAAGGGTTGTGGCAAGAAGTGGGGAGGGTGGTATAGGAGGCCGGAGCTGGAGCCCTGGGGAAGGTTAGGGATCTTCTTGACAGACAGCCCCTCCCCCACTCTTGACTCAGCAGGTTGGGGGAGGGGCCACTTAGGGTGGGGCCCCTGGGGCAGCTTCTACTGGGTTGGACAATGCTCCCTCCCCAGGGAGCTCCTGGCAACAGAGGGGGCCCCTGGATGGACAATGAAGTCATAAAGCCTGGCAGTGCCCTCAGGAAGACAGCTCTGTATGGAGGATGAATTTTGACCAGAAGGCTGTGAAATTCCTGGCAAATTTCTACATCAATGGGGGCAAACACTGGACTCATGGCCCCCTTAGTCAGAAGCCTCTATGTCCCACCCAGTAATATCAGGGGGCGTTACCAGGCGGGGAACTGGGAGCAGCCAGTGGGCTGGGTGAACAGTGGTTGCCGGTTTTCTTGCAGGCCTGAGGCTACTGTGGTGTTGAGAAGCGGGGATGAGATGTGGCTGCCAAAGAGGAAGGGAGCCTCAGCCGGCCTCAGGCTAGGAACATGCACCCCCAAGACGTGCCACCCTATCTGCTCCGGGACCCTGAAGGAGCTGCGTGAGTGAGGGCTCTGGCTAAACTACCCCTGCCCCCAAGATGGTCTGGAAACTGTAAGGGGCAGGGAGCAGACTACTGGGAGAAACCCAGGCCCAGAGCTTGCTTCCTGCTGCCAGTGCTAGAGCGACGCCCCCCGATCCTGATCGACCTGGACGTCCCCGGCCCCACCAAGTACGAGGTGCCCAACGCGTCGGTGCGAGAATCTTCCCCTCACCCCCACTACAGCATTGGCTGCAAGCACCCAGGCCGAGGTGCGTGTCCCCTTCCTTACTGGCTCCCCGCGGCCAGCCCCTGGGATTCCCAGCCGGGGAATGGGTGGGTCCCTCCCTGAAGCGCCCACCGACGATTACTCCACCACAGAGGGCGGCGGCCGCAGGGCGTGGCAGACCCTGTGGCTTCAGAGCGAAAGCCCCTTCACGCAGAAGGCCGACTTTAACCGAGAGCAAAAGGTGCGGAGAGCGCTCGCAGGTGCAGCGGGGCACTAGCGGTGGAGCGGGAGGGGACGGCCAGCCAGCGGGGTGGGGATGAGTCACCCTGCGCCTAGGTGGTGGGGAGGGGCCTGCGGACCTGGTGGGCGGGGCCAGGTGGTGCGCAGGGCCCCGCGGGCCGGGCGCGAGGGCCGCGTGGCCTGACCAGGTTGGGGAAGCAGCAGGGCAGCTTGCAGGCTAGGGCCCTGCAGCTCTGGCCTCCTGCCTCCTTCCAGTGGCCATCTCCCGCCGACTATGGGCCGCTCAGCCGAACTTCCTTCCCGGCCTTCAGCTTCGGAGGCCGTCGCCGAAGCATTTCCAAGACTCCTTTGGGCCTTGCCCGCCCAGGCCTGCTCCGTGGCAGGGGCCCTCGTGCCCATCTCCCGCCCCAGGCTTCTGTGCAGGCTCTGGCTGAGAAGCGCCCCAGCCCCAACACCTACGACATCCTTCCCGGGTACCGTCTGCAGAACCCGCGCTCACCTGCCTTCTCCATGAGCCGCTCGCCTGCCTTTGCCTCCTGGTTCAGTTCCTGTAAGGAGACTTGGGTTCATTGAGGCGGGGTGCTGTGGAGGGCAGAGGACGAGGGCCCAGGGGCTGGCTGCTGCTCTTGGTGGTCTCCCAGCCCTCTCTCTTTACAGCCCAAACCCCAGGCCCGGCTGCCTACTATGTGGAGGACTGCTACAATTCACGCTTCCCCTCTGCGCCTGGAGTGGTCATACAGGGTGTGCGAAGACCCAAGCGCCACGACACAGGCCCCTTCTGCACGCTCTAAGCCTGCTGGGCCCTGCCTGCCGGCTTGGCTTGTTATTTAGTGGAATGCTGGTCTCCCTTGGAGCCTCCTCCTGGAACTTGGGGCCTGGGGCTTGGTCTTCTGACTCTCTAGGCACCACTGATTCCCTTTCTGACCAGCAGACCCTCTATGGGCTGTGACAAGGACAGCCCAGCCCAGAGCCCCACCTGCCCCTCCCCTGCTGTACTGAGATGCAGTTGTTCTCCCACACTCCATCTGTCTGTCTGTCTGTCTGGCATTGCCCAGTGGGTTGTCCTGAAGAAGCCTGCTGCTTCCCTGCCCTTTGTGGCTTTCCCTGTCCAGGGGTTTCCTTTGGTCATTCTTTCAGAGAGCTACCTTTTCTAGGGTACTCTAGGGTAGCATCCTGGGATTAACCCTTAACTTCTGGCAGAATTCCCCACCCAGTCATGACACCCAGGGGATTGGTCCAGCTGCCAGTCTACCTAAGAGTTGGGCTACTTGCTGAGGCGAGGAGCTAACTGTTGGGGTTCCCTGAGTTGCCATCTTGAGGTGGGGTTAGCCTGGCAAGCCAGCAGGGAGGGCCCAGAGGACCAGCTTGACCTGAAGACCCAACTGGGCTTGCTTACCTGTGAACCTTGATCTAAGGACATTCAGGCCAAGGCCATAGCCAATGGACTCCTGGGACTTTACTCCTTAGGTCCCTGCCCTTGCAGGAAGCAGCAGCCTGCTGTTATCCCCTCATCACCACTGGCCTGCCCTCCTCCCAGAAGGAGACTCTGTTCTAGCATCCTCTCTGCAGTTGCCCTTCCCCCAACCAGGCCCAGAACTCAGCCCTGCAAACCATTTGCCCTAGCTGCTCCTGGCTGGTTCCTTGAGGGCAGCACCACCCTCTTTTGCAGAGAGGAAACCCTAGCCCTGGGAGTCTGAGTTCCCAGCACCTCCATGCCTATGCCAGCTGGAAGTCAATCCCCAGTGCTCTGGGCCCTGGGCTGACCAACTTGGCCAGCAACAGTGATAGAGCTGTGGGAGCCCTGACCTTGGAACCTGTGCCCCAGAGGGGAACAGGACTCCTGCTTAGGGCTGAACCACCAGGCACCCCCAGGATCCAAAGCCTGATGTGGTAACAGCTGGAAGAATGTAGTTTTCCTCTCCAGTTGGGATGAGGGAGGAGAGCTTCCTGGAAGAAGCATGGAGGAAAGGGCTTTCAAGTATGAAAAAATATTTGCTGAACAGTAGGAAGATTTTTTTTTGGGGGGGGGTACTAGGGATTGAACCTAGGGGTGCTCAACCACTGAACCACATCCCCAGCTCCCTCCTCCCGGTTTTTTTTTTTTTTTTTTTGAGACAGCTTCTTGCTAAGTTGCTGATGCTGGCTTTGAACTTGTAATTTTCCTGCCTCAGCCTCCTGAGCTGCTGGGATTACTGCACCAATGCCAGGTTAGTCAGAAGGCCAAATTTCTAGTAGAACAACCATCAGCAGCACAGGCACATGTAAAGGGAGTAGTGTTTGGTGTGTCAGAATTTGGGGAGGACATGGTGGTGGGGTGGAAGGCTGAGAGCTGGGGGACAATGCTGGGTACATGTACCTACAAACTTAGCAGCAGAGAGACTACAAGCCAGGATGGGCTTCGTGTTCTGCATCGGACAAGGAACACTGTGAACCTGGGTTCTGATTCAAAGTTCAAAGAGGGTTAACCACATTAGCCCAGTAATTAGAATCTAACATGGTGGACGTGGCTTATATTCTCACTGTGCTCCCAGATCTCTGCTAGGGATCCTGGGCACGACTGGAGGCACGTTTAGATTTTCGTATGCAACAAGTTTGTAGTGTGGGCTTCGTTCCAGTTTTGCCTGGAGGAAGTCAAATTTCAGGGAGCTTGAAAGTCATTCACTATGTCCTACACTTGTGCTGCACCTGCCGCGACCCAGGCAGGGAGCTTCTAGGACGGAGATGCGTCACTTCCTCAAGCAAAAATATTCGTAAAGTCAAGAGGCTCCTGTTAGATCAGCAAGAGTTGTTCGTGACTATAAAAATAAGATTTGCCTCGAAAAATGTCGGTTCTGAAATCTACAAGCCGACAGCAGTTGCGCGCAAGGCACGTGGTCTCGGGTTGGAGGACCACCAGGCCCGTGGTGGACGGCGGCAGCGGGGCGGAACGTGCGTGCGTGGGCGGGGCCACGCCCGTAGCCCGGGCACCGCCCCTCGAGTGCCGTCCCTCAGTCTCTGGAGGTGGCGCGTAGATGCCCGGAACCCGAGTGCGGGCGCGGCGGCTTTTTCCCGGAGCGGTTTAGCTGTTGGACCCCGGCCGTGCGGGGCGGAAGTGGGCGGTGCTGGCCGTGCGGAGCCGCGCTGCGGGCGCGACCTGACCGAACTGGAGGCGGCGGGGGAGCGCGGCTCCGGCGGCCCCCGAGGCCCGGGGGAGCGCGCTTCGGGGGCGTCCGCGGCGGCGCCGGGGGAGCGGTGTGGGGATGGGGCACCGAGCCGGGCGACGGCGGGGGCCTCGGCCATGTTCGCGGGGCTGCAGGACCTGGGCGTGGCCAACGGCGAGGACCTAAAGGAGACCCTGACCAACTGCACCGAGCCGCTCAAGGCCATCGAGCAGTTCCAGGTGCGCGGGTCGGGCGGGCGCTGCTCTCCGCGGCAGCCCGGGGTGGAGGGTGGGGACGGTAGGCAGAATTCACCGCGCTGACGCTCTGCTTCCGCAGACCGAGAATGGCGTGCTGCTGCCCTCCCTGCAGTCGGCCCTTCCCTTCTTGGACCTGCACGGGACGCCGCGGCTGGAGTTCCACCAGTCGGTGTTTGATGAGCTGCGGGACAAGCTGCTGGAGCGAGTGTCAGCCATCGCTTCGGAGGGGAAGGCCGAGGAAAGGTCGGTCCGCGCTTGCAGCCTAGGAATCGATGGGCAACTTTTATGGTCCTTTTAGGACTATGTGTGAGGAGCACCCCCACTCCACCGGGCCTCCTGCTTGTGGAGACCCACTCCCTCAGTTGTGCAAGTCTTTGCAGGTACAAGAAGCTGGAAGATCTTCTAGAGAAGAGCTTTTCTCTGGTCAAGATGCCATCTCTGCAGCCAGTGGTGATGTGTGTCATGAAGCATCTTCCCAAGGTGAGAGCTCTGGCGCTACCCCTTCCAGGGAGACCAGTGTGCCATGAGGTACAGCTTGACCAGCTTACCTGCATGCCCTTGGTTGATGGAAGTCAGACTCAGCTTGGTGCAGGTAGCTACTTAGCTCTGAGGAGTTTTGATGAGCAGCTTGCCTGAGTCAGCTTCTCTCAAGTGGGCCACATGCAGATCAAAACTTGGGTCTCAAGTTTTTGTGAGAGAGAGCTGTGGATATTCAGTATGTCTGCCTGCACCTATAGGGACCATGGGATGGGGCTGGGCCAATGTGGTTTTCATGAGGAGGACCTGGAGGACACAGGTGCCACTTGCAGGAGGGTACAGGGCTTGTGTTTGTCCTTTAGGTTCCTGAGAAGAAGCTGAAGCTGGTGATGGCTGACAAGGAACTGTACCGAGCCTGTGCTGTGGAGGTGAAGCGGCAGATCTGGCAGGACAACCAGGCACTCTTTGGGGATGAAGTCTCCCCACTGCTGAAACAGTATATCCTGGAGAAGGAGAGTGCACTCTTCAGCACAGAGCTGTCTGTCCTGCACAACTTCTTTAGTCCTTCCCCCAAGACCAGACGCCAGGGCGAGGTGAGGGGAGGCAGGGCATGCACAGGGCTTTGAGTGTGTGGGTTTGTTCCTGGAATGTGTGGCCTGAAAGGTTGGTTGGTTGTGTGTTTGTGTACATTTTACTTTTTAGTGAAATTATATGGGAAAAAAGTTAATACCTACAGACAGGCCTTTAATGAAAAGTGATAGCCCCACCCCACTTCCAAAAAGCTTCTGCTTGGCCCTTAAGTTTTTTTTTGGTAACGGTGATTGAACCCAGGGGCACCTAACCACTAAGCTATACTTTCAACCCCTTTAAAATAAAATAATTATTTTTGTTTTGGGATAGGGTCTAACAGCTAAACTTTTTTTTTAATACTTTAGTTGTAGTTGGACACATACCTTTATTTTATTTACTTATTTATACGTGGTGCTGAGGATCAAACCTAGGGCCTCACACTTGCTAGGCAAGTGCTCTACCACTGAGCCACAATTCCTACCAGCTAAATTTTTAAATCTTTAGTTTGTTAATGTGGTTGAATTCTTCTACTACTACTACTACTACTATTTTTTAAAAATATTTTTTAGTTGTCAATGGACTTTTATTTTATTTATTTATAGGTGGTGCTGAGAACCGAACCCAGTGCCTCACACGTGCAAGGCAAGTGCTCTACCATTGAGCCACTACCCTAGCTCCCATGGCTGAATTCTTTTTTTTTTTTTTTTTGATATTTTTTGTTGTAGATGGACACAGTATCTTTATTTTTAATTGGTGCTGAGGATCGAACCTAGTGCCTCACATGTGCAAGGTGGGCACTTTACCATTGAGCTACAGTCATAGCCCTGAATTCTTAAATAGTGAACTTAAGTTTCCATCTATTAGTAATGCTGATGTTATACCTGAACTCAGATTTGCAATAACTGGGCTGGGGACGTAGTTCAGTGGTAGAACATTTGTCTAGCATGCATGAGGCCCTGGGATCAATCCCCAGGACTATAATTTTTTTTTTTTTTACAATAACTGATATCTGTTTTTTTATACTGGGATTTTTTTTAGTTAAATTCATCTTTTTCTTCTTTTTTTTTTCTGGTACCAGGGATTGAACCCAGTTTTACTTAACTACTGAGCCACATCTCAGCTCTTTTTTAAAATTTTGAGACAGGGTCTCTAAATTGTTTAGGGACTCGCTAAGTTGCTGAGACTGTCCTTGAATTTGTGATTCTCTTTCCTCAGCCTCCCAAGTTCCTGAATCACAGGCATAAACAACCATGCCCAGCTTGATTTCTTTCTTTTTTTTGGCGGGGGAAGTACCATGGATTGAACTTGGGCACTCAACCACTGAGCTACATCCCCAGTCCCATTTTGTATTTTATTTAGAGACAGGGCCTCACTCAGTTGCTTAGTGCCTCGTTTTTGCTAAGGCTGGCTTTGAACTCGTGATCCTCCTGTCTCAGCCTCCCGAGCTGCTGGGATTACAGGCATTTAGTAGAGACATAAAACATTATTTAAGTCATCTCAGGTTAATGAAGAAAATATAGACAAGATCTATTTATTTTATTTTTGTGGTGTGGGTATTGAAATTGGGGTGCTCTACCACT